TATATATATATATATATATGTATATATATTGTAGCTCTTGATAAATCTTTTCACCCTACTACAGTAACTGCAAAATTTCCATTCTGAGATATTCTTAAAAAACAAAAAACTGTTTAGGGAACCTGTCAGCTTAGTATATTAACTTTTAATATCATCAATTGACTTTAAAAAAGAGCTTTCCTGAGGTTTTAATGATTTTTTGAATTTTTTATTTAATTATCATGATATGCTTTTGTAGAACGCTTCCTAGGCAAAAACTTTACAAGTAAGCAGAATAATTCTGTTAACAATTCTCACATCTCTTCTTGATAAATGCTGGATCTTCTTAACTCTACTCATAGAATTTTGTTACTGCTTTCTTGATAGCAGCTATACAACTCTTCCTGTTATCTCTTAATGATGGTACAGCTCTAAAATACTGTTTAATAGCTCTGAGGCCAGCTGGTATTAAAGTCTCCCAAACTCTGTGGTAGCTCTTAGAGAGGCTGATTCCATCAACAGACTCTCTAAAAGCTACATCATTAAAATCAATATATGTCAATAAAATTTAATATTATTAACATTCCATGTTGGGCATAGATGATATCCTTTGTTAATGCTTTTGTTTGAATTGTTGAGGCCACATAAGGAGCTCTAAGTTACAACTTTGGGTTAATTATCAGGACTGAGACAACTGCATAGCTCATTGATAGGGATGCCAGGCTCTATCTATGAATGCGTTAAGTTCGCTTTAAGTTTAAACTATGCCCAAAGTTACCCAAAACATTAAACATAAAAAATCATCCCTACCACTTAACTATTTCAATATATATTTTACAAATATTTGTGGTCTTTGAAGTAGCTTTCCATCAGTTGAATCTTACCTCTTCCAAAATTCACTAGATTTGTTTGCTCTTTGTGAAAATAATTTAAATTCAGCTAATCCTTTTTCAGAATCAGTATTGATGGGTACTATCCTTTGATTTGCAAAAACACCAATTGTCATATGCTTGGAGGTATACTTATGCATTAATTCACCTATTTGTCAAAAAATCAGGTTTGCATCTACGCACTACTTACAGGCCTTGTTAAGAAGCGTTTCCCTATTTTAATTTTATGTATGTATTCACAATTTCACGTACACATTTCACAATTTACGTTACGCAAAAACTTATAATAAGCAATAAGCAAAGATGTTTAACAAAAAAATAACAATTAGCAATAAGCAAAATAATGAAAAATAACAATAAGCAATAAGCAAAGTAATAACAAATAACAATAAGCAAAAATAACAAATAACAAAAAGCAAAGATAATTAACAAAAAAAAAAATTTAACAGTCTGTTAAAACAGATTGTGCAGAAAACATTAAACTGTAATTAATTGTTTGTAAAAAAACATTTGTGGAATATTTTTTTATTAGATAAAAAAACAGATAGATATCCTTTTTTCTATTTTCTGTTTTTAAAAAAAATATATATTAATTTTATTTTATTAAATTTAAATTAATTCTATCATTATTCATAGTTTTAGTAACTTATTTTATTAAATTTAAATAAAATTTTTTTAAAAATTTCAAAACGCTCCATTTTACAATTTTTTTACTGATAAAGTTTCCAAAATTTATGTTAAAAAAAAAATTTAATTTAATTCAAGTTACTATAAAATGTAATTCAAGTTTAAATTTAAATTACATTTTTTCATTACATTTAAATCCCTTAAAGAAATTAAACCATAAACAAGTGTCCCCTCATTTTAAAAAAATAACCATAAAAAGAATGTTTTAAAGGAAAAAAATTTAGTTTAAAAAAGTATAAGATTATAAAATAAGGAAATTTTTTTTAATCACCATTTAAATTTAATTTATAACTTTTTTTTATAACAATATTGTTTAATTTAAAGATATTTCTTTTAAAAGACTTACTATAATTTCAAATGTATTTTTGAATTTAATTAAAATAAGGTATTTTAAAATACGCAACTAAGGCAATTAAACTTTTAACGGTGTAAATATCTTTATTTAATAAAGTTACATTTATTCGCGTTGCGCTTTTCCGTTACGCAACAAAATCTCATAACAAAGACTGTACTTGCTTACTAGTTTAAAGCTGCTTTTGATTCTTTTGGTGATTTTTTTGTGATGGTCCTTTTTCTTTCTATACTAATAAATGCGCTCCTATGTAATCTCCTGGATCCAAGTAGATTTTTTCTAAAACTTTTAATCTTTTCTTGGTTTCAAGTCAAGTCTCATTTTACTCCATGGTTTTTACCTTCTTTTGTAGTTGCTATATCTAATTGTAATCTTTTTTTTCAAAAGAACAACTTTCTTGAGAACAACACTTATTTATTATTGCAAGAAATCAATGTAAAAAGGTGCTGTTTGATGCTAAGCTACAATTTTCTCAGTTCACTAAATCTTATCTCAGAAGTTAGTTTCTAGAGGCTTGAAGGGAAATCTTCAACAGTGTTATTAACGTAAGAATAATCTCTAATTCATTAGACTGATCTTATTACCTCTCCAAAGGATAAGGCTGGATTATTTGCAAGGAACTTTTCTTCTAGTTTGACTCTTAAATCTTATGGCCATACTCTTTTTGCCATTCCAGTTAAACATGTTAACCCATTGTTAGACGTTCAAATCAGTCTAACTTCAGTTGCTAAAGTCATATCTTAATTAAACGGTTAGTTAATAATATAATAATTAATTAAATTCTACGGCTTGCGGTCCAGACAACATTTCTGTCATAGTCTTACAAAAGTGTTATCCAGAATTCTCTTAAATTCTCTATAAATGATTTAATAAGTGCTTGACTAAATCTTGTTTTGCTGCCTGCTAGAAAATTTCATCTGTAGATATAATTTTTAAAAACTCTGAAGAGCATCCTGACCCCAATTATTGTCTGATTAGTCTTTTTTATAATTAGAAAGCTCTTTGAGTATTTGTACAACAAATTTGTAACATCCCGTCTTATCAATAACATACTCAAATAACATATTGTCTGACAGTAAATTTTGATGTTTTATAACTGACTTACTAACTGCTGTGACTGAAAGATTTTGTAGAAAATTAGATCAAGGCGGTAAGGGCTGTTGACAAATCTAAAGTTTTCAATAAAGTTTGTCATGCTGGTCTTCTCGGCGCTTAGAATAGGCAGCTGATCTTAAATCTTATATCACTTCTATAACAGATTGGGGCTTCTAGGGGCTTGCAAACTTCAACAAAATTCAGTTATTTATTGCAAACAACTAGTGCAATACTGTTGACTTGTTCCCATATTGGTGAATGGCAAAACTCTGAGTCCTCTTATTTACCTCATATTGAAATGTCGTTTATTACTGACTTCTCATGGTAACCATATATGCAATCAATTGCAAAATTAACATTTGCTACCTTTATTGTGCTTGCCATTATCTTACTCCTGATTCCAATTTCTACCTCTACAAATCTCTTATTAGTCCCTGTATAGATTACTGTTGTTATATTTATGCTGGTTTTTCTAATGATGTTTTTTCTCTATCATATTTATATCAACTAATACTCATTCTTGCTCGACTTGTCATCTAGCAAAGACTTTTTCAAATTTTTTTACTGTTTCTATCACTGCATTCTTTAAAAAAATCTTTTTGAACCCTCTGCCATTGTTATGTTTTCATGGCTCTCATACTACCTACAACTTTTCAAGACTTCTGTTTATTATTTGCTCTTTAACTTTATTCTTTGTTTTCTAGTCCCAACTTAATAATGGTTTAACTCCCAACATGATAGTGGTTGTTTGCAGTCTTGTTGGCTGTGAATTAAAAATAAGAAAAAAATTTTAAATGTCTTAAAAGTTTTATTTATCATTCGTTATTAAATAATAAAGTAAATGTTTAGGAAAAATTAAAAAACATATCATATATAACATATATACATCAATAAACAAAATTTTTTTTTTTTTTTGTTTTTATTCAAAATTTTCTAATTTTAGTTCTTAAAATATATATTTTTTAATTTTTATCATTATATTAATAATAATACATCATCTTTATTATAAAACAATATTTACTATTTTTTTTAAATGCAAATTTATGCATCAAATGACTAGACTGAGCTGTCAAGCCCAAGTGAAATAAGAAAAAATAAGGAAGAGAAAAAGGATAAAAAAATTTAAAATGCATATTGAACGAATGTTCAGAACAAAAACAAAGACACTATATTAGGCGTGTAGTAAAAAATAATAATGATAATTTATACACTGTGCATGTTATAGAAATGTAATAAAAACAAATTAGGACACATAAGTAACCATAAATCTACAGTAAATACAAAATTTAACATACTTAAAATAAATATACATGTGCATAGATATATCACTACTTAAAATGAATAAATATAAAATCGTAGGAGGTATAAAATAAAGAGAAAACATTATTGCTTTTGTGTAATCATAATTTATGTAGTGGTGGTAATAAACTTTTTCTCAAAATCGCGTTTATTATTACCGGCGTTTCAAAAAGGCTCAGCACCAATACCTAGTTTATCCTTTCAGATAATCATCATCGTCATTAATGTGATTTGAATTTGAATGCAACATTTCAAGCCTTCTGTTTCCTTGCTCTTGTCTTTTTTTTCTAGTAACCCCTAATCTAATAGTGGTTGCTTGCAGCCTTGTTGGGAGTGAATTAGAATAAAATAAAATAAAATAAAAAAAAAAGTTAAAATCAGCTTCGATAAATCAGCTGTAAACGTATTTTATATGTAAAAAAATTAATGTAAAAGCTTGGTAAGCTTAATTGGTCACCACAGTAACAATGTTGCTTGTTTCCATTTCTGGCTCCACAACTCATGTGAGCCAGAAATAACAAGCCAGAAACATATAAATATCTTGATATTGTTTTTGTTATTAATATTTTGATATCAATTTTTGATATTAATAACTAATTGATAAAGATAAATCAAAAAATTAATTTCAAAAATATTAAATAAAAGGGTCTCACATGTTCTATATGACTTAATTGCAGTTATATTAATCTTATGTTTAGTTTTGACAGTGGCTATATTGTTAATCATGGAGGGGCTGTCTGCTTTTTTACATACTCTTCGTCTTCATTGGTAAGAGTTTTTTTTTTTCTGTTTTTTTTTTTTTTTTTTTTTACTTTTAGAGTTATTATTAATAAAAAACAATTGTCATAATTAAAACATCTGTTAGAAGCAGGGTTGGTAAAAAAACCTGCTTAATAAAACATAGTAAATATATTAAAACCCAAATAAAACCTGGGTAATATTGGTTTTATTTGTCATTTTATAATGGTTATAAGTTATAAGCAATATTTCGGAAAACATAACCATGTTATAGTAGCTAGCTATTAAGGAACGATATTATTATGTTATTGCTTTTTCACAATTTTGTGAAAACCAATCAAAAAAATTAAAAGATTTTCTAGAACATTTATATTGTTTATAAGAATAACTAAAAACCAAGTATATATTTGTGATATTGTCTATATTTTTTCACAAAATTTATTTTACCTTTTTGCTTCCTTTTTTGTTCCTAACTTTCAACTACCTTGATTTTTTATCATTTTCTTTCTCAAAAATGCTAACACCACAATATTTATGAACATAAATCTATAAAACATAAAAACACACAGTGGTGACAAAATAAATACCACTGATTGATGTTTAATATGATAAATCAGAGATCTGAAGTTTTTTAGCCTAATGAAATACTAGTCTTAAAAGATAACTTTACTGAGTAAAAAATTAAATTAACTTAGTTAAAAAAAAACTCAATCATCTAAAAGATTTAGAAGTACAGAATAAGAGGACAATTTAAATAGCACACGTTGTTAAAGAGTTAACATTTTGTCCTTTTTCTTTGTAAATGTGTTGATCCATTGTTCCTTGAATTCTCTGCAACGGGGCAACGTCACACCATGGAAAACTACCCCAAACAGTCACCTTGCCACCACTATGTTTTACAATCTTTAGAGTATATTGAGGGTCTTTAGAGTAGTTCTTGGTTTTGGGGACGACGAACATATTGTTTTCTATCGGATCTAAAGCAATTTAGACTTATCAGTCCAAAGCACATTTTTCCAAAAACATAACTCCTTGTTTACATACTGTATTGCAAACTACAAATGTCTCACAAGATTGCGTTTTGAGACCAATGGTTTTTTTTTTTTAGCAACTCTTCCAAGTAGTTTATTTTCGCGTAAGCGACTTTTGACAGTGCTGACTTACAGATTAATTTGTAAATTTTGAGCGGTTTGATCTTTAATTTTTGGTGCACCAGCAAAAGTATTTAGCTTAGCGATACTGACAATGGCTGCGTCTTTTCTGGGGGTTGTCCTTTTTCTTAATTTTTTTTTTTTTTTTTTTTTTTTTTTTTTTGCCGATTTCGAATTATTTAATACTGTTGTTTTATAGATATTTGGCCTTCTACTTCGATTTCAATAAAACCAAATATTTTGACAAAACTTAAAAGTTAAATTAAATGAAATCATTATTATCAAAATGGAATCCGTAGTAAATTTTTTTTTTTCGTTCTATCAAAAAAATATGTAATCATTGTGTGTAGTTATAAATACAACAAAAAATTAGGCATTATACATGAAATTATTCCATATAAAGAACAAGTTGTAACAATTACTAGTGAAAATGCGAAATATCTTAATTGCAACCGTGGTACATTAGTTTGAGTTCTTTCGCAGAATTAGGATATCAGAGGTTTAGACCAGATAAGCGACATTGATAAAGCAGAAGATTCCTTGTAGTTAAATTGCTCTTCCACGGTTTTTTGTGATAAGACCCTTAAGTCTCCTTGGAGCATCTTAACAACTAAAAAAAAAAGTCAAGTCAGAAAAACAAATATCCAAGTTGAAAATTTAAATTAGTAGCTTATTCTTCTGTTGACTTAAAGCGGCGGTTTTTTGTACTTTTATCTACATTTTTTTTTATTAATTTTAGAGTTTATAAGTATAAGACATATTTTTTAGGGTCGAATTCAACAGTAAATTTTACCATGGCACCGGTAGAAAGTTTGTACCGTTTTCCTTCAAATCAGTGTTGTCCGAAGACCAAGATTGAGTGTGTGGCGATTTTTTGATACCGTTAGTTTTTAAAGGATAATTGTTTTATTTTTAATTTTATTTTAATTTAAAATGTTAATTGTCTTAAATAGTGTAATAAAATGCTTCTTATGAATTGTTTTTCCTTACACGTCGCGATAATAATTTTAAGGCTGAAATTAATATTAAATTATAAGAATTGAATTATTAACTTTTTCTTTTTTTTAAACAAGTTGAATTAGGCTATAAGCATTAGAGTGTTTAAAAAATATGAAAAATTGTACTCATCGAATTCTGTCTACTTATAGAAGACCGCTAGTATTGAAAAAAGATTTATAAGACTGCTCTAAGTGTTTACTGTAGAAATTAAAATCAGACGTTATTAAGTGTTCTGAGTTTTTCTTGAAAACTCTCTTTTAACAATTCTAACAGCTGTTGTTTTTCATAATTTAAAAAAGATCTTTTTTTTAAAAAAAAAAAGATGTATTAAGATATGAATGGTAACTAATTAACTAGTACCATATTAACAAACTTTTCTTGATCACTTCCAAATAATAGGAAATTAAAAAAAATATTTATACAGTATCGGACAACACAAATGCAACTCCACAAAATGTTGACCAAGCTGTATTTCGCTATCAATATTTCGTGGCGAATCCTTTGTTGTCGGTCACAGCCTTGCATCTTCGATGCATAGATTCGATCAGGTGATCAATGAAATTTTGTGGAGTTGCTGCCCAGGCGTTTGGATTTGTTCAAACAGTTGATCCTTATCACAAACACCTTCACGATTAATTCTGCGGTTGACGATCTCCCACAAGGTCTAATGACAGTAACGTAAATCAAGGCGTTTTCCGGCCGGTCGACGTACACGGCAAATGCCATCGCTCCCAATGATGTTGAACTTCGATTCATCACTGAACAGGACAGTTCGCCATTTCTGCACATTCCAGTCAATATGAGATATAGCAAACAGGAGTCTTTTCTTCTGGTTCTTTATTAAAATTAGCGGTTCCTTTGCAGGGCGTCGAGAAAACAATCCGGCTTCAAAAACACGTCGTCTGATTGTTCGGTCCGATACAGGCAGCTCTAATTGCTTTTGAATCTCGACTGATGATATCCAATGATCCTTCTTGACGGATTTGACAATCATAGAACCCGCTCTAGTGGTGGAACGCGGTCTTCCACCTATGTTATTTGCTGCCAACTTTCCTGTTGAACGATATTTAGAACATAGTCTTGAAACGGTCTTTTTTTTCACGCGATATTTATCACAAATACTTTTTTGTGTCATTCCACTTACGTAATCGCCAATAATTTTCTTTCTTAGTTTCAATCCTAGACTGTCGGGAGCCATTTTTGCACTTAAAGTCATAAAAATAATAAAAATAAACAATCACGCTTCTCAAGGCTTATCGTGTTACATTTACCTTGTGATGATACAATAATGCTCTGTTGAACACAACGTCTTGGTTGGATGTGGACTGTATTGATGTAATGAAACACTTGTTGTATTTCACTTCTTGTATAGATGTTCATTGATAAAACACTTTGATAAAACTCACTTCGATAAACTGTCTTGATAATACTTACTGATTGACTTCTATATACTAAATTACATGTCGGTTTACATGTCTCTTATAGAAAAATGACCCTTTGTGAACCTGTTCTAAAAAATTCTAGATGCTTCTTTTTGATGCTTCTGGAAGCTTTTCGATGCATCTGGATGCTTCTGAGTGTTTCTGGATACTTCTGGATGCTTCCAGATGCTTCTTTGTGAAGCTTTTGCATGCTTCTGGAAACTTCTGGATACTTCCTTTTATTATTAAAAAACTTCTGTGCTGTTGACACGGTCCAGACTTAAGAAAATAAAACAAACCAAAAAAGTTGCATTTGTTTTGTCCGATGCAAATTCTGCCTGTGTGATGTCACCTGTCAACTGATTGCTCATGTTTTGGCATGCTATGACTCCAGACTCCTGAACTGTTTGCACTTTTTAGCATTATTCGATGTTGCATGCAAATGTTTTGTCCAATACTGTATATATTAACGTGTTTTTAAAACATCTATAATTTGGGTATTTGTTTTTTTTGTGTTTTTTTTTTTGTAGACTAACAGGTATTTTTAATTTTATAATTATATACAAATATACCAACTTTATTTTATTTGACTTTAAAATATCGAATTTAAAATATTTGAATTTGAAAGCAGCAATATTATTTACCTTTTTAAAAAACGTAAACAAACCAATCATTTTTTCTGATAAAAAACAACTAAATAAATTGTTACTCTTGACAAATGACTATTTTGCGTAATTTAGTTTTTTAAAAAAATAAATACTTAAAAAAAATTGTTATCACAAATGGGGAAAAGTAAGATCACAAAAATAAAAAAGTCGAACTACAATGTTAATTTAAACCCACAAAGACCGATTTCTTTTTTTTCACAACATCAACTTCCAACAAATGGAACAGTTCTACGATATTATCAGTATGTTATTACAGAAAAAAGTAAAAGATTTAAGTCTACCCAAGAAAATTTTTCACGCAAAACAAAGAGTGGGAGTAGGGATATGGTTTGCCTTGACAAAAATTATGAAAAATTTGGAGATATGCTGCCTAAGAAAAATTGTTAATATATAGAAATATGCTGGCTTAGGAAACTATACAATTGTTGAAAATCAGCTTCCAACACACACAAAGTTAAAGCGTCAAAAAACATTTAAGTCTGGCTGTTCAGAAATAGCAATAGAGTTCGACAGAAACAAACTTCTATTAGCTACAATACCTGTTAGTGTTAGATGCGAATTCACAATCGCTTACAAACAATGTTTCTAGGAACTGTTATTAAAGCTTTAGGGGGAAATGTTCATGATATAAATATATCTAGAACCTTAATAGCTAGAGGTAGATTTAAGTATATTGAAGATTTAGGTAAATTTTTTTTTACATTCAAAATATTTATAATAAAATAAAAAATAATGATTATAAAGAGAAAAAAAAATCTTTTTAATCTTGGAGCCACCTGATGGTGATTAAGCCATTATAAAGAAATGTTGGGAAATCTTGCACTTTGACCGTAAGTTGGTAAAAGAAATAGAGGAAAAATTAAAAATTACAGTTAAAAGAAAAGGGTTGCGATATCTGTTACCAGTTCTCGATTTAATACAAAAGATGATTGTCTACTTGGAGTTATAGCTGTAGAAATCAATAAAGGAAAAGATCACGCTATTGTTATTCAAAAAATTAGAGTATTTTGAAATAGCTGATAATATAATTGGAATCTGTAATGATACTACATCAAGTAATACAGGTAGACTAAACAGAGCTATAGTAATTTTTAATAGTTCTTAACAAAAGTTTATTTTGGTTTATGTATCGTCACAACATATATGAACTCCATATAAGTCATGCAGTACAGGTACAAAAATTAAATCTAAGGGTTCAAGCAACTCTATGTACTTAACTTTCCAAAGACACTGGGAAACTTCTCATGAATCTGTATATTCAAGAATTCCAGAATTGAAAAAATTTGATTGGAACAAGCTGGAAATAGGTAGCAGGCTTTACATCTTGGCGCTAGCAGCTAAAGATTATGCGAAGTATTCGTTGGAGAATAAAATTTTTTCAAGAAATGACTATATTCCCCTTGTAAAATATTTGGTTTTTTATCTTAGCGTCGAATTTGATAAGCTTAATGAATTTAAAATTCATCAACCTGGAGCTTGTCACAAAGCAAGATTCATGGCTGATGCTTTGCATATTCTTACACTAGAAATGACATCCACTATTAGAACCTTTTTACCTGATAGAAATAAAGATGAAATTGAATGAAACATGTGTCTTTATTGCTGCTGTTTGTTATGCTCCATGGTACCTCAAGTCTAGAAGCGCTCAACATGCAGTTCTTAATGATTTTAATGCATTTAAAACAGCAAATGTTATCAAGGATGGATTTAATGCTGATATTGGCAATGCTTTGATTAAAAGTTTTCATAAACATTCGTTGTATCTTTCTCCAGCAGTAGTTGTTTTTTTACTAGTTGACTCTCACTTAGAAAAGTTTGTCAAGTATGAGATTTTGAAGTCATTAACTTCCTTTTCAGTTCCAGAGCTAGAAAAATAAATATGGAAAAACCTAATCCTGTTTTACTCTAACAAAAAAGCAAGCTTTCAGACTTTGTTACTGCTGATAGTAACAAAAATATATTTGTCTAATATATTTATATAAAAATAATATAAAAATAAATTTCAGACCTTGTTACTACTGATAGCAACAAAAATAAATTTGCTCATGCTCAACCCTTATTGAAATAAATGAACGCGTTAAATATATTTCAAATAAATATTTTTCAAAATATACTTTTCATGTTTAAATATAAACTAAATCTGGTTCTAGAACATTTTATAGCACACTTTTTTAAAACAATAAAAATACAAGAGTAACAGGCAACTTTACGAAACCGTTTGAAACAACAAGACTCTCAAAATTCTCAATTACATATCGTGGTCCCTATTTATTTAACAAATTAGTTTCCAGAAACGAATCACTATGAAACCTAAACAACGAACACTCTCTGAAAATAAAGCTAAAATCTACAATAGTCAAATTAAACAACTATAAGGAATTTTTTTAAAATACTAATAAAACAAATTAAAAAAAATTAAACTTAACTTTTAATACAAATCGATAATAAAAAATTATAATATTAATAACAAGGTGTATATGTGCAACATACATATATACCACGTATGCAACTGATTTTCATGTGTAATACACGTTCAGAAAAAGGTACTCGATGACAAGACTGACTTAAGTCTTCTGTGAGCTTCCTATAACTACTAACAAGTAATTCTTCTTATCAATCTTACACAAATTTCGTTTTTATCATATTTATACGCAAACATTAGTTTGAAATGTGTTAAATAAACTTATACTCAAACATCTAAACACTTCTCCGAAAAATTAGCCAATTTATTTTTATTTATTGCATTTTTTTATTTTAACTGAATTAATGTAGAGATATATTTATCGGATTATTTTTACATACACGTTACTACATTGTTGTAATTGGCGTTCATTCGAATCGTGCCTCGGAGTTGTATGCAACTATATTTTTGTTTACTTCGTATATTT